ATAAACACATACATAATCAAGAGAAATTCACAAACAAAATATGTGATATACAGTGCACCCTTGTTTTTACTCCATTTCTGTAAAAATAATTCTAAAATTAATTTTAGTATTCAGCAGTTCTCAAACATTCAGGTCTCATGTCAGGACTCTTATACTCTCTACCCCCAAAGGGTTGTTTATGTAGGTGATGTCTATTGATTCTGCATTAGAAATGAAAAATGAGAGTTTATTTTAAAACTCAAAGCATGCACTTCTCCAAAACTCATATCCCATCAGCTAACAGAACAATGGCATTGTTATGTATCCTATAATCCCTGAAAACCCTTCTTGTGAGAGGATGAGACTGTAAAAGGCAAATAGTTTTGACCTTGAGAACTACCCAGAAGAATCTCAGGGATGCCAGGGTGTCTGAAACACACTTTGAGAACTTGTGTACCAATTAGTTGTAACCCACTAATAAGTTGTACCCCAGATTTTGAAAAATACTAATCTAGAAAAAGCCCAAATTGATTATGGCCTAACAGAACCAAGTAAATCCAATTAGCCAAATTTCATTTCTTGGGTTTGTTTCCCTCTTGCTCTTCCAGAGTGAAGAAAGTGTTATGGTTAATTCCCTAAAATTTTCACATCCGATAATTAATCTAAGCCAATCCATGCATAGCATTTCCTTGGCAACTGGTACAGGAGAACTTATACATCCTAAATTGGCTCCATCAGACTGAAGAGAAGGATTTAAATTCAGTCGTTGAGGGAGACAGGCTTTCTTTCTGGATGTCAATGAGGAATGCTACGGGCAAAACAGTGTTTGCAATACTATTGCAGCAGAGTGGGAGGTTAAAGAAAAAAATAACAAACTCGGCTTTGATGACAGTGAGCTAATTACATCATGCCTGGGGCCTCCTTTACCTCCAGTGGGCTTTGCAGTTTGGTGAGAAAAGACATTTCATTGTTAGAGTTTAAGAGTTTCTGCTCCTTGATAGACTGAGATTTTAGGGAAGCTTGTTAGATATTTCATCCTGATCTCTGCTGATTGAAGAGTTTTCTAAAGGACAAGTTCCATGTGACCTGACCTAGCATAGAACCAGCCAGCTAGTAGTTGAGTAATTAATGAGAGACTTGCAAGTGAAGTTGAACTTCAAGGACAGGAGCTGAGGTTCCAAGGTTGACACCCCTCCCCTATATGTATGCCTTCATTTCTAGTTCCTGACAAAGAAAGTTGCATTAATGCAGGCACTCTTTCTGTGTGCCTTCCACTCACTCACTGCATGACCCCAGTGTGGAGTCTGCCTCTCTGCCCGCTCACCCGTGCCAGTAGCCCACTCAACGCCTTGGAAGTATCTAGCTGCTCAACTGAACTGACCTCCTCGAGGGCAGGTGTTAAGTTTGTCACATCTTATATCCTCAAACATGTCACTGACTTATATGAAATAGGCTCACAATGAATTTTTGTTGAAAGAATAAACGAATGATAACAAAACAAGCTGGAACGCTTGAGTCAGCTAACTGTGTAGTTCATAGGCTAGTCTTTCTGTGGCCTGTGAGCTAAAAATGGTCTTCTGCTTTTCAAATGGCTGAAAAAAGTCAAGAGGAAAGTAGTATTTTATAATACATGAGAATTCTAGGAAATTGAAATTCCAGAGTCCATAACTAAAGTTTCATTGGAGCATGGCCACACTTACTCACGTACATCCTGCCTTTCACACCACAACAGCAGATCTCGGTAGTTGCAACAGAGACCATATGGCTTATGAAGATTAAAATGTTTACTCATTCTTTACAGAAAATGTTTGCCAACCCCTTTTCTAATGTTTCCTTTTTGGTAGCAGTATGTCCTTTATTCTCATTTTTTAAAATTCAATCTTCATTTCTCTTAGTCACACTGCTAAATAACACATGCAGGGTGAAGATGCATGTGACATTTATTTAATAATCTATGATTAGTGTAGAAAGGAATACTAAATTGAAAGCAAGAATGAAATATCCACCATGAAATCTGAATTATACAAATCAGATTCACTGAGGAAATATTTTAAATATCTAGCATCACTATTAATTTTGCAGACATCCAACTTGACATTAATGCATTAATATTTTTAAACAAACTGAAGACTTAAACATTTCCCACCAGCAGCTAAACCTCACATAGCAGGGGTTAGAGCCTTTTTTTTTTTTTTTTTTGGCATAGAAATACTGGATAGTCAGAGGTTCAGAGGTGAAAGGAATTCAGAGACAGAGTGAGGAGCAGAACAGGCAGATCTACCAAAATACAGTGCTGAGGGGAGCAGTGGGCAAGACAGGAGAGGTCTACTGTGCCATGTGGGTCAACTCCCTGGTGGGGATTGAACTCAGGCTAACTCAAGCTGTAGCATTGATAGTACTGGGATGTATCACAAAGGTCACTAGGGAGTCCCAGTTTCAAAAATCTTACTCAAAATTTTACACTGATGCATAAGAAAATGTTTTGATATATCAAAAAAAAAAGACTACATAGCATCTGGTATATACAAAATTATTTATACTGATTTTAAACGATTATGTTAAAACATCATACACATATTTAGCAATAGCTATCTTGATATGGTAGGTGGTGAGTAACTTTTTCCCTAATATTTACCAATTTTTCCACATTTTGCAGCTTTATAGCTGCCAAATGATAAAATACTGCATCATTCCACCGCTTTAAGATAAAATACCCTTAAACCTAGTGAACTTGCTTTCCTCCACCCCTACCCCAAGCACGATCTGATGTGAAGAGAACTAAAACCTCGGGTTTGGTGGCTTGATCATGAAAAATAAAAGGCATTAAGAACCAAGAATGGAAGTAGAGAAGAGTCAACTTTCCACACAAGAAAGCTCGCGGTTCATGGTCGGGGTGGGAGTGGGGGTGTGTTGCGGGGAGCGGGCCAAGCGTGGAGAAGGGATGTAAAGGTCCTAAAAATGAACAGAAAAAGGCAACTAGATTCAACTAATTAAATAAAACACTACTTAATTGCCCTGTGGAGCACTCTCTTGGGGTTAATCTGAAGGAGTTATTTTAGCAAATCCCACAGAAACATTACATACTTACATTTTTTTCCAAAAGTCCCAAAAGTAATATTAGAAAGGAAATAGTTTCAGGTCATAACTTCACTTTTCAGGGCAAAACCTGATTGTCAGATGAATTTTTAACATTCTAGAAATAGGCAAAGTACATTTTTTCCCTTCATCTTTCTCACCCTACTAACCTTGACCAAGAAAGATCAGCCTTTTGAGTCTTAATGTATTCTAACTCCTTTTTCAAGTGGATTGAGACTATAAGAAAGGCAAATGAGAGAAATACTTGTAAAGCCAACCAATGGTCACTGAAATAAAGAAAAATAGTTAATTCAGTATGAAGGACAGTGTGTAACAATTTGTCAGCTTTTGGAATTAATAATAGCACCTGTGTGGCATGAATTGCCAGTGTAATAACATGTGGCATGATGCAGAAAAGGCATCTTATTAAACAGAACTGTGTAGGCTTTGGGTTACGCCCTGTGCAAACTGCTACGAGATCACCAACCCTACTTCCTGTTCTTGCTAGACACATGGCTCTCTGACATTTTCCAGTCTTCTTTATTTCTGTGTGTCCACAGAACTGCCTTCCAGCCAGAAGACTGTAGGTAGTAGTCATGGATGCCTCTGTCCCAAAATGCACCATTGTAGGGGCGACCTCACCCCCCAGCCCTCCCACCCACAATGCTCCATTTTTCTTCTGCTGACTGTAGAGACTCAGAGCACCTCGAGGCAGAAGAGGCCTTGCTGCCCAGCACTAGGAAGACAGCTGCCTGAGCCTGCCCACCCACCACAGCCTGTGGCAGGACAGTGCTGTCCTGTCTACTCTCCCACTTGTAGGCAAGTGCTGACTAAGTGTAGATGACTTACAGACAAAAACTGAAGGCCCTTGACCAGCTGCTCTGCCTTAAGAATCTTGCCAAAGAAACACTGAAATTCACACCACATTTCTCCCAACATTCAAAAGTACCACTGCTTGCAAAATGTTTGTTTCTTTGTTTTCATTATGAGTATCTCAAGGCAGCAGTAGTGTCTTTTGCATGGCTAATGACCACTGGTGAAATCTAGTTTATACTCTAGTTGTTGGGGAGTAGCTTGCAATTTTTTGTTTAGGTTTAATCTAGTCATTTGCAGATAAAGTGGGAAAGACCATAATTACTGACCTAACACTCTATTTTACAAAACATTTTTTCTATTTATTTTTTTTTTACTTTTATCTTTTATATAATTGTGTATTTCCCCTAGAATTCCAACCAACTCACCATCACATAGTCCTTTGTGCCCTTCTCTCCCCTGTTTTGATTCCTTTTCTGCCCCCTCCCTCACAGAATGTCTCTAATTTATGGCTTCCTGATAATTTTGTTGTTTTAAAATTATTATTATTTTTTCCCCTGATACCTTATTTGGTTGCCCTATATTCCTCCTATAAGTGAAACCATTCGGTATTTTTCTTTTTCCTTCTGTCTTATTTCACTGAGCAAGATCCCTTCCAGCTCCATCCATATTGCTGCAAATAGAAAAACATTTTTAATTTATAATTTTAGTTGGAAACAAGTCTCTTAAGTTAGTTCAATAATCCTTTTTCATTTGGCTAGATGGATCTTTCTTGAATATCAGGAAAACAGACCTCAGAAATTTTACCTGCATTTAGGGCTTAGATATGTCTGGTAGTTCTTCTGTGGGGATGAAGAGTCCATAAGCATCTTCCACGAAGTAACTCCTCAAAGAGAACAAGCAATGAATTTTGACCAACAAGGTTAGAATGAATCAAATTATTTTTTCCTTGAATGCAAGTCATTAGCATTCATTTTTCATTAACAATAACCCAATAACTATTTAGTGCCCTAAGACCTGATCACTTGAATATTGTCAAGCATGTGCTTATAACTGTGCATGTACATAGAAATACACACATGTACATAAAAGGAAAATCAAATTGGACAATAATGGGATGCCTCAGACCAAAATGACATTAAATGTTTTTATTGAACAAAAAAAAGATAAAACATGGAAGTTGACTTCACTGAGCAAAAGCAGCTTATCAGGGCAGCTGCTGTACTTTGTGCTAAATAACCTCATGAACAGAGAGTATACAGAATACATATAATATGTAAGATATCTCAACAGCAAAGGAGAAGGTAGAGATTATAGTTTTGGAGATACAATTTGATCAGGTGACCAATTTAGTGGCTAAAAATTTCTAGCCCTTATTCACCCCAATTCAGTATGACTCCACATAGATGCACTCCCATTTTAATGGGAGCTGCTTTTTGGAATATTTTTTTTAAAAATTCATATCTATTTGATGTACCACCCAATTTTAAAAAATTTGCATTTGATATATGTATCCATGTAAAAATCCCAAACCCTTGTTCATAAGTAGAAGGGTCATGCTTTTTTTTAAATTAATATTGGTGAATTTCAGTTATTATTTCTCCTGTGTGTCTAAGAAACTTTATATGTTCTCAATGCACCCACACAGTCGGGTGGGTTGACAGATATGTCAAAAATACTTTATGAAGAGGGAGGTAGCTCATGCGAGTTGGCAACCTTTTGTCTATTGTTTTCTGTTGGAGCAGGCTGCCTCCCTTTGAGGCATCTTACAGTCAAAGATGAAATGAAAACTTTTGACTTTGAAGCATAGTTAGCACAGTTGTACATTTACTATAATCCACCTTCAACTTAGTTTATTGGGCTTTCGAATGTAAGATGACAAATACCTTACATCCAGTACACAGCATCAAAAAGTACTGAAGAAACATTTTATAGACAATACCTTGGTTGTTTTTTTTTTTTTCTTTTTATCATAGGTTAAGCATCAGCTTCTATGGAATACATTTCCAGAATGGTTTTGTCACCACTTTATAAACACTCTAAGCCAAACAAACAGCACAAATAACATCAATGTCATCTTTTTTCCAATATCTGTATCAATTACTGGAGGCTAATCCTAACATACACTACTTAAGGGGGAAGGGGAGAAAAAGAAGAGAATCCAAGACACATTGCAAAGATAGGACTACAGCATCTTAGTTGTAGGGTTGATCTTACGGTGCAGAAAGAGGGGACTCTCTAGAAGGTGATGGTGTGGATTCTTCAGGTGGAAAAACCGTGAGTGTGCAAGCTCGGATGCCACCCAGGGACTCTGGGAGATCAAAAACCTTATGCCATTCATCTTTATCTGGATCATATTTCTGCACTATCTCTACCATACAACGGTTATTCCAGGAATACCCACCAACCACATAGATTTTATTTTCAAACACAGCGACCCCAACATCACTCTGGCCTCTTAACATGGCTGCAATTGGGGTCCACTGGTCAAGGATAGGTGAGTAGTATTCACAGCTTAGGACATCATCATAATCACTTGTTCCTCTGAAGTGATTGCCACCAATGACATAGAGCCTTTCTCCCACGGTACACATGCAGTGCAGGCCTCTGACGGTGGTCATCGGTGCCTTCTGAATCCATTTGTCAGTATCAGGGTCAAAGCACATGAGCTCCTTTTGGAAAGTGTCATGAGTAATTCCTCCTAAAGAATGAAAATAATAGGCATGATGTAACAGATTCTTATAAAAATGCAAATGTATATAAAAGACTGCCATAGTTAACTTGCCCATGTTATGACATTTTATAGCTTATCAGTGGTGTTCATAGAAAAAAAAAATCCACCCTCTACAGATACTTCACTAAAGAAGCCATCCAGATAGCCAACAGGTATAGAAATAACAAGTGTGGGTGAGAATGTGGAGAAAAAGGAACCCTTGCATAGTGTTGCTGGGAATATCAACTGGCCCAGCCCCTATGGAAAGCAGTGTGGAGGCTTCTCAAAGTGTTATAGTAGATCTACCACGTGATCCATCAATTCCACTCTTAGGTATTTAACTGGAGAATTTAAAAATGTAATTTGAAGGGATATATGCTCTCTTATGTTCATTGCAGGACTATTTATAAAGCCAAGTTACGGAAACCATCTAAGCCCAGACACAGATAAGTGGATTAGGAAAATGTGGTCTTCTACACAGTGGAATACTACTTAGCTATAAAGACAAGATAAACTCTTGCCATGTGTGACAACATGGATAGAACTGGAGGGGATAATGCTAAGTGAAATAAACTAGAGAATAAAGACAAATACTGAATGGTGTCACGTAGAGAAACAAACTCAAGGGTCAGATAGAACCAAACCAATAACAAATCCTAGATATATGACTGTAGAGTTGAGGCTGCTAGAAGAGGCACAAAATGCGAGGGGCCAGTGGACCATGGTGGCACCCTGATGGCAGGAGTGGTGTGATGACACACATCTAAAGGAATGTGATCCTAGACCTAAAATTCCTATGCAGTGTTGTGAACAGATATTTACAATATAATTTAAAAATCTTTAAATCTGCCCTTTATAAATAAGATTAATAAGAAAATAACATTTTGTCTCCTTAAAGAGCAAAAATATAGCTTATATTATTGCAACAACTTTGATAGAGACCTGTGGGATTTAAGAGATTTTAGTGAAGTAGGCATGGTGACAGTACTTTAAATTCCAGTTGCCCATTTCCTGTCTTGTCAAGACAACCTACTCTAGTTTCTCATTAGAATTGTGACTATGAAGTTAAATAAATCAAAATGTTTTGAAAAAGCTGAATATGTTATATGAATATATAAGTTTATAACAACAGTCAGAATTTACACACACACACATATATAATTTTGTCTGTGCTGACAGTTTGGTCCTGATCTATTGAGGCCATATCATCAACAAACTGTATTCTTAGACTCTACAAGGAAAGAAGAAAGAAGACTATACATTCTGCAGACGAGGGAGAGAAGTAAACTCATCTGGAGCCATATCATTCAAAGCTTTACTACCTGGTGAGCAGATGGCAATCACTGTTTTTTGGGTTTTTTTCCCCTACATTTAAAGATTTTTTTTCTGTACTATCCAGAATTCCTAGAGAGCAAAGCTCTATTTTTTGGTCTCAAATCTTCTATGGTCCCTATCCTGCTCTTGACCAGGAAGATCATGTGTACATTATATGCCAGTTATACCAAAGCACCACTAGAATAATTTGGATGCATTTCTACCCCCAGAGGATCTGGAGCTCTCGTTATAATGGCACAGCAGCTACACACATGAACCAGGTAGTGTAAGTCACTGATCAGTGGAGCACGTGATTTCCTGGGTGACTCTTTTAATATATGATGTCCTGTAGTTGCTCACAAATGTACACCAGAAACCCGCCAATCACACACTGCAGGGCTTTCACTGATCCTTTTTGATTGCAAATTTCATAAGGCAATGTTCAGAGACTCCGACCATGAGCATCACCTTAATGCCTGTGTTCTCTAATATTGTAACTGTTGGCCTGGCACCAGGAGGCCCTCAAAAGGGGGGGGGGGAACAACTCTCAAACACAGACTGTGTTAAGACCAAATGATGAGAACCTACGTAATGACGTAAAAATTGAATAGCAGAAGCAAACATTAAATTAAAAAAATAGGTCTCCTTTCTAAGTTCTATGGAAGGGTAATTTGAACACCGACAATTTGAGAATAAAAGTTGTTAGTAGGAATCGGAACCAGTTATCACTATTTCAGAATTTTTTATTAGAAAATCACAAGTGCATGTGACCATAATACAGGTAATCAATACAGATTTATGCAATGACATCAGAGCAGAACCCCATCATAATACTAAGGAAAAGAGAAATACTTATTATGAACATTAATATGAATTATATGTATATTGTAAGCAAGTTTAGTGAACAGTAGACCTTATACGTTATATAACGATATATTTTCCTCATCACTCAGATAAATTTTCAACAAAAATGAATTAACTGTTGCTATATATAATATGAATGGTGGTTATTAAGAGTACAGAGGATAAGGCCACAAAGGCAAATTGCAGCCCAACACTTTTCAATTAATTCTAAGCTATACATTTATAGCAGAATTGGTTTGCTGCTAGTCGTATGAACTTAAGACTACCAAAGGCATTCAAGGGCAAGTGCGCACACACAGCATCTTCTAAAATCAACATAAAATATATTTTGATGATCCATTTTTCTGGATTACTAACACTGTGGAAAACTGACGATACAGTTAAACGTTTATGGATTATATTAATTGCATTGCACTTGCACTCTAATTGCTTACCTGAAATATACATTACTCCTCCATACACAGTCCCAGCGTGGCCATAGTGGGGCTCACTCATTTTGGCAACATAGGTCCACTCATTTGTTCGTGGATTGTAACATTCCACTGTAGCTGTTGTTAAAAAAAAAAAAAGAGGAGAGAAAATGATTTTTCATTTCAAGTTTAGCAATTCTTCTTATCAGTAACGTCCAAATAACTGAAACACATTGATTAGACATGAGATATTCTTTGGGGATCTTTTACATTATTTATTAAGGTTATGTTAATATTACAAATCATTAATACATGTTACATTCATTTTGATAATGTAATAAGCTAATACAATTCTGTCATTGCATACATCAGTATAATTTACTTTCAGTATCTTTTTACATCTTTATAATTTGACATTTCTCCCATTTTTTTTGCTCTAAAACTATTGGAAGATTTAAAAAATCATGAGAAAAATTTCAATTCTTGTCTCTCCAGTTACTATAACATATAGGAAACAAAAGTTAATCGATAAGAAGCAAATTTTAAGTTGAGAATGAAAGTGTGTTTATTGCCTCTGTGTCCTGATGCTTATTGCTTTATTTCATATACAGACGACAAGATGAACACTGACAGTCATTTTATTACATTTCCACATTAAGGACAATAGTCTGCACATATCCATGACCATTGCAGCCCGCACTGCTCTTAACCTGCAGATGACAGGCAGCATAATATGATTTTTTTTCTTAAATGGGGCTAATTCTTCTCAGTAATAACTTTATCATCTTTAACAGAATATATATTGGAGAAGCAACCTCATCTTAATTAAATATCATTTATAACCTCAAGAACAGAATGACGGCAAGCCAAACAGAAAATGTGATCCTTTCTTAGATATAGGCAGAAGGAAACAGTGCTGTTACCTGCTTAAAAGTACAAAGTCTAGATTGATTGGAAAAGTTTATACTATTTATTGTAGAAACTGTCAGTTGAGTTGTAACCCAATTTCTTTTCTCTCCTTGCCCTACATTTTTCTCACTAACAAAACCACAAGACTGGTCAAAGATGTACTATACCACACCAAATAAATTCAAATTAGTAAGTTCCCTTGAAGCTGGATTTGATGGTATGATATAGTTCTAGGTAATGAAATGGAAGCATAAGTCTACTGACATGGAGCTCTTTGATCAAGTTATTGGAATAAGCTTTGGATACTTGCAGTCAAATGCAATCCTAACTCTTAAGCCATCCTTTGAACAAGGGTTCTTAAAACTAAAATAGAGAACAGGTAAAACTAAAAAGAGATTACTTTTCTACTCTATTCATTAATTGCATTTCTTCATCAAAGTCAATGTGGAAGTTCTCATTTCTCCTCTAATGACACCTATATTAGATCATTCCTCAGGTCCCCTTTTCACTTATTTGAGTTTGAATTTTTAGTCTTATTTCAAAGGCTTTTACCATTCTTATTTTGATCTCATTAGCTTTATTTATTGCTTCAGGCTTAGAGCCTTATTATCTCTCTCTTCTACATCCTTCCATTAAATGGTAAGATTCTACAAAAATTGGCACAAAAAATAAGAGCTATTTCTACAATGATAAGTTAAAACTGCCACATACTCTAGTACTGTATTTGACTATTTCTAGTCACTGACATCGTCTTTAATGTTTATATGCCTTTGTCATGACTTTCATGAAATTGACAAGCAAAATCCTACTCAATGTGCATTATCATCTCTCTCCACTTATAGAGGATCTCGTGTATTGATCAGTACTTGGCATCAACAAGTAATTAATGGTGGCAGGGTTTGATCTGATAAAAATAGTATTATCATGCATCCTATCAGCACAGGGATTTTAAAAGACTTCCAGAGACCATCTTTTTTATCCATTTGATATGAAAGACACGTTTTACTGTACTTCTACAATTTTCTTAATGAAGAATTCTGCTTTGAACTTTCTAGAGTACAACAGTCTAATTCAATCTTTTCTGATGCTGCTTCCATTTCATTCTTTTTATAGTAGAGCTAGAAACTGAATAACTATTCACTCATTATGATTATTAACCTCCTATATAGAAAGATATTGCTGTCCTTCTATTAATGAATTACATTCCTTTGTTAACACGGTTCATAGGATCCATCAATACTTTCCATGTTGGAGTCCCTCAATAAAAGATGGCTGTTAATCATCAATAACTACTGTGGATTAGTTCAACATCCTGAAACTTGTCTTCTTCCCCCCAAAATAATCCATCCCCTTTAGCTTTTCCAATAATTTAATCTTCATGAAATTTTAGACGTTCTAGGCAGAATTACTGTTATTGTTATAGAATACATATAATTAAAAATATATATGCCTGCTTTATTTCTACTCTCCATATTTACAAGGCAATGAAATAGTTCGTGCCAACAACCTTAATAGTGGGAGGGGGCAACGGCTACTACAAGCCAAAGAGCACAAAGCAGTGGTTCCATCTAAGCCTTAGTGGTTCCATCTTAGAGAAGTGGGAATGGCAATGCGATAATGGGGAAAATCTCAAGCAGAGGTCAGAGGGTAAATTATAGCCCATAAGCCAAACCCAGTTTGTTGTCTGCTTCTAATACAGCCTGTAAGATAACAACAATAGTTTTTGCAGTTTTAAGGAGTTGAAAAAATTATTTTGTTATAAATGAAACTTTTATGGAATTCAAAATTTGGAGTTCATATACAAAATTTTGCGAAAACACAGGCCTCCTGCACTGTTTATAATTTGTTTATAATTTGTTTATAGCTTCTTTTGGAATATAAAAATCAAACAGAGTTGATTAGTATGAACAGAGATCCAATGCCCACTTACAGAAGTTTGCTGACCCCCCCGTCTAATCATCTTCAGCTATCGGGCAGCCTCTTATTTAAATTAGAGAGCCCCTGCAATTTAGAATTACATTTAGGTTGGTACTTTCATGCAGCTCATTAGGGATTCTTATTTCCTCAGGTGATTCCACTGGCGTCCAGAATCGGTCCCAAGGCAACTTACTTGTTCTTTGAGATAAGGAAAGATATTAGACTGAAGAGAAGCCATTTGGACAATAATGACTTCCATAGAGGGGCAGTGGTGATGGTGCACTTTTTAGAACCCTAGCATGCAGGCTGGTGATGGGGTGCTTAATGAAGAAAATCCCAAACCCATTAAGGATTATAGAGGCATCTGATAAATTCCAGTAATTCTATTATATGTTTATTACAAAAAAAAAAAACCTAACAAGCTTTCTATTAGTTATTTCATTAGCTGAAAGCTTTACTTATTAATATTTAATGGCAGTAAGAGTTATCTGAGTTGTCATATTTCTCTTCAATATAGAAAACCTCAATGGTAGATCGATTTCTTATATGACATAACTTTGAAGATGCCAGAAATAACTGACTCCTTTTTCACCTATGTGACAGCTACTCTAAGCTTCCCCTAGTTTCCCATTATGCCTGGTGTCCCAGGAAGTGGTATTTCTGAGGAATTATATTTCAGCAATAAAATAGGCTAAACACACACCAGTAGCAGCTTTTTGATATACTATGGGCTTGGTTCCATATATTACCTGAAAGGATTTTAAAAGTGAAAGGCATGAAAATAATCTAAAATGTCTAACATGTTGCTACTATTTTCTTTTCATAATTGTACATAAGTAGTGGTTATTGTATGTATGAGGAAGAAATGATATAGTGGTGCTAATGAACCTATTAAACTGTTAAATGACTCTCCAATCAATCCCTTTTCCATTTAAAAAAAAAAATGTGTGTAGAACAGGAGAAATAAAAGAAATCCAAACTCAAACTGTAGAAGATTGACTGTAGAACTGAGGCTAAAGGAAGGGGAGGGTGGGAGCAGGGAGCAAAACAGGGAGGGGGCCCAATGGTCTATGGTAGAGGACAATGGACATGTTGGTGGTGGGTGTGGCAACAAGTATCTGAAGAGGTGTATTCCTATACCTCAAAATCATATAAAATGGTAACTAAGGTTTCCTTAATAAGAAACTGTACAATTAAAATTTATTAAAATAAATAAAAACCCAGCCTCTGGCTGGAACATTCAGCTATATAAGCAAGAATTTCTTTAGAAACCAAATCTGCTATTCTACAAAACAATGGGCCTCAGAAATCTGGAAAGGGCAATGAATTCACATACTTTTATTATTTCTACAAAGGAAATATTATTAAGATAGAATTTAAAAGAGTTCATTGATGTTGTTCTTTTGGGAGACAATCAGGGCAGGTTATATCGGGTTTGGTTAACTCAATAATACAGAATATGACAAGATGGGACAGTTCTTGATTCTACTTGAAGCAAACAAAATAGAAGAACTCAAGAAAGGTGGAATGGATCAGAAATTAAACACAAAGTCTCTTGCTTCTTGGTTTTATATAAAGACTCTGGCCAGAAGATTCTCTTAGAATCAAGACTCCTGATTAGAGTGCACTTAATAAGTTGATCATATGACTTATAACCCCCTCCAACATATTTTAACTTAAAATATTTACTAAAGAGCAAATTTGCTGGGTATACTGATTTCAAGCAATTATTTTCCATAAAAGTTCAGTTGTAAATTATAGGAGATAATTTCAAAAGGAAAGAAGTATCGTATAGTTGGCCTTTAAGTGAAATTTGAATTGTTTCTCAGTATTGAGGGTTTGTGTCTATAATAATGATCATAGGTATATTTGTGCAAAATGCAGTTTGTGGTTCAAGATGAAAATGAACCAATATTTACCATCTAGTGAGAGAATGTTTTTCAGAATATGTAAATAATTGTCTTTTGGATTAAACTTTGGGAGATTATGCTTTTAAAATCTAATATAATCAAATTGTGATGAATGTAGTATAGCCCATAAAAGGCATAAATTTCTCATTCCTTTTTATTTTGAAACTGAAATACGAAAGACAGATTTTAATAAAAGATGGAGGCACTGATTTTTGAAGGCCCAAGGAAGTCAACTACTTGCCTCAAAACTGTAGTTTATTTCTTATTCCTAATTGAACATAATTTGGGAAGAGCTCTACCATGGTGGGGGTGCAATCAGAAAAATAAAGAACATAACATTTTGTTTGATTTATACAATGACTCTCCAATGACTCTCCGAGGCCCGAAAACAATACATTCTCAGAAGAATAAAGTTGTTAGTTAATATGAGGAACAATATGGCAAACACTCAGTAGTGGCATATTTATGGGAGGGGGGGTGGCAACATCACTGAGCAAGCACTCACTAAAAAGGGGACCTATTTCCTTTTGGAAAAGAAGCTTCAAAATGACCTATAATTTGTTTAATGGTAAGATTATATTATACCAGTGTTTTTTTCTAAGAAAACACCAAGAACCATTTGCATCTTGTGGATGTTTTCTGTCACCATAAATTCAATGTAATGTAATAACATGAAATGAAATATATGGGTTAGCTGAGGACACCTGCAATGACAACTCTATACCACAGGTATGAACCCTTGTGGGTCATAATCTGACACCTACTTCAATCTGGAAAATCTGATCTTAGAAAAACAACATTGTGACAACAGAAAAATAACAAACAACAAACAAAGCAAAAAAACAATGGTTAGGAAAGGTCAGTAACATTAAGATCATTTCAATTCCAAGAAGTGGCCTGGTATGCTGTAAAGTGTAGGAGCTGAGAGCAGGTGAAATATACACTTGAAATAGCTTATTTCAAATCCACCATATTTCCTTTTATTTCTTAGAATTCTGAAGATTTTTTTAAGAAAGAGTTTGATAATTACTCTGAATTACCAAGAGTTAATGCCAATTTTTAGATGTCCCCAGCATTTATGAAGCCTAGGAATACTGGTCAACTACAAAGACTATAAAGGAGAATAAAACAAGAGGGATGAAATATGTCAAACAGTGATGGTAATGACTTATATGGAGGGAACAACATAAAATGTGGTCTTTCTGACTTCCTTTTTGAACAACTATCACCTTCCAGTGTTACCTAAAATAACAGAATTATACTGTCTAGTGGTAATTCATGAAGCCAAAGCACTGCTATGTTAACTGTACTTGTGATTGATCTTAAATTTAGGAAGACAAAGGAGTGGCTATCAGATTAAGTTTACCAGATAAGTTTAGAGTGAAGAAAACTAGTGTTTCAAGACAAAATGATTTTTAAAACTCAGTCACAGATCATAGTACTTTTAGTAAATACATTTTAGATATACCAAACTTTGAATATTTAATCCATAGAGATAACTATCTTATTATGTGGTCTCTGGTATGTAACAGATTATGTAAAATGATAAACAATAAAAGGAAGGGTTAAAACCTATTCAATAAAATATTATGTGAGATTTTAAAATGGAAAATGAGGAAACATACTAAACACCTATCCAATATTCTATTAGAACTTAAATGAATGCAATGTAATCTGCAGTTGGATCTTTAAAGAAAGACCACACATAATGCACAAATAAATTATTCTGCAACATACTGATATATTTTGAAAACCTAATTCTTACCCTGGCCATCAGTATCAGCCTAGATAAGGCATAGAGATTGTCTCTGATATTTTCTAAGAAAAACCATTTAAAATCAAACCCCAGTTACATTGTTTTTTGTCTTACTTTAGAACAGCTTATTTTCTGATTTAATGGGAACCTGGGGGTAAAGACATTAGACTTTATGTTTAATTTAAATGCACTTACGCAGTTCACCAGCCGCATTGCGCCCACCAACTGCATACAGATATCCTTTGAGGGCACTTAGGTGGAAGAAGGTGCGCTTTTCATTTAAAGATGCAACTTGCATCCATTTATTGTATCGAGGGTCAAATCTGAAGACTGTATCGACTGCTGTTTTTCCTTTTGTGTCATAATTACTCTGTCCACCAACGACATAAAGGAAATTTCCAATGACAGCAATGCCATGCTGGTACCTTGGGGCATCCATGGGGGCTAAGGATTTCCATTCGTGGGCCTTCTCATCATACATGCGCAATTCCTTGCTGACAACCAGCTGCTGCCTCAGCACTCCTCCCAGTGTAACCAAATGAGTGGTGTCAGAGCGAATGGCAGTCCTGTCTGACTGCATAACTGGCTGCATATATGGCATCATTTGGTAATTGCTGGCTTCCAAAAGGAGATTCACACAAGTATTGTCAGTTCTCATAAAATCCACGGTTTGCACATAATTAATGAGCTCCTGTGGTGTCATCAGTGGAAAGCGTATGTTCTTCATTAATTTTGCAGCAAAGTCCATCCGAGGCTCTTCCAGACGCAGCCAGCGGCAGGTAGCCTTAAAGAGCTCCAGTTCAGTGCAGTGCTTAAGGCTGTTACTGGAAAGCACGAAGGCAAGCCTCTCAAAAGGGAGTTTCAAGAACTCCCCGGTGCTCAGCAATGCAGGAAAATTCTTCAAGACGAAACTGTTAACATATTTATCCACTTCTGTCAGATTGTAGGTATTGGCAATCCTTCCAACTTCGACACAATTGTCTAAAGTGACCTATTATGTCAATGAAAAATAATTTTTAAAACGTGACAACTTTCAAGACACTCTCACCGGGACAAAATAAATAACTATTCTGGGATAAGTTATGCTTTTTACTGTCCATATAGCTGTAAATAGAGTGTGTCTAAACATATTAATGATCTCCAAAGAATTCGCAAGTCACCTGTACCTAATCCAGCAAAAGGGTGACTAAAATAAAATGACCAAAGTCAGTAAGTTAGAAGTTACTCTAGCAAGCAATGTTTTTACTTGACCATGGCTAAAATAATTACTGTTCTCAACTAAAACGTGTATGTTCCACCCCAGGAAAATTCTGGCCACGTGGAAATTTTGGAATAATAGAAGCCTATTCTAATATGGGTTTGGTGAAAACTGACTAATTAGAATCATAGCAAAGCAGGGCAGAGTGAGCCTTGGTAGAAAAGCTGGATTTGATCCTTGCACTGGGTCAAAGAGCCAACAAGAATGAGACTGTCCTTGATAAGGACTTTTAACTACTTTTATTTTGTGACCCTCTCTCACCAGACACACGTGACCTTCTGACTTCTTCATCTGCCCATTACTTCATCTACTTTTTCTCTCTACAAGAAGCATCTCCTCCCCCAAACACACACACCTGGGTCACTCCTCCTTGTGGAACCTAAACTGCGTATCTTTGCTAGTCCCAAATAGACCATGTTGGCTAACGTTGCTGTTCTCTTGTTGAAGGATTAACAGTTCATCTTAATCCACTTCTCAGCCCAATGCTTAAAAGTAACAAAGTTAACAGATGTACAAACAAAAAAGCTCTTAAAGACCTGATCCCTAGATTTCTCTGTCCTTTAAACAGGCATCATTCATTACTTCAACTCATTTTGAGTCCTTGAAAAACTGTTTATAGCAAAGATCATTTAATAGAATAATTATTCCTAAACAGAAGTTATTTTCCACACTATTTGCCTGCAAAGTGAATGGGAACAGAACTTGTCACCTCAAAATACCCCTTTATGGTATAAGGATTACTTTAGGCTGGTTATTTTTAAGAACCAAGAGGCATGGGAAAAGATCTGAAAACCTAGTAGAAGTTACCCTTTTCCAAGAGATACTGACATTTATAAGGGAAATCTCCATTTGTAAGGGTGTCTCCCTTGCAGCCAAATCAGGATGAAAAAGATAATTAAATTTCTAGAGTCTTATCAAAGTAGACCCCAACAAAAATCTGCATAACAGTACTCTCCTTTTACTGTGTCTTTCCAGGTAACTTGCCCTAATTGGTCATCCCTCCCCACCCCATATCTTTTGTCTTTAGCTGAAAATGATATTTAAAGGTGGTGGCTTTCCTGGGTCTCAGATGTATTCAGAAGGTACACATGTTATTAAATATTTGTTTTTCTCATGTTAATCTGTCTTTCATTACAGAGAGTTATCAGCTAAGAACTTGAAGTGTAGAGGAAAAATTATTATTCCTCACATGGGCAAGGACATCGCTTTCTTAAGGGATGTGTCTGTATCAAATTACACACATAGTTTAGAAATAATTTAGTTTCTGATACCTAAGACAACAGCTTACAAGGTAGTTTTCCTCTCTTACTCTCAACATATTCTAGCTCTGACTGGAGTCAAAATAAGCCCAGAAAAATTCCTGAGCACAGGGTAAAAAAATATACCAAAACTAGATACCAGGAATGGAGAGATGTTATAGAGGTTGCCCTTTAGCAGGATCTCTAATAAATCGATAACTCAAAACTAAAAAGAGGAAAATCAAATTTCACAAGGAAGAAACCACAGAAACTGCTCTACCACACAAATTTTTCAATGGGTGTTTACAAACAGAGAGAGGTCACAGGCAAAGACTCAAATGTTCTTAATTTTGTCAGATATGTGCTAACTAATGTCACATAAACATCACCAATGTTATTAACTAAAAGGCAGATAGTAAAGAGGAAATTGGCTACTCTTTCTATAATCCTGTTATTTAAAAGCTTAGCTAAAACTAAAATCACTATCTTTCTGCATGAACTAATAGCCAGTTATGATTACACTGGATACCTGAAGGCTAATACACATATGCACACAAAGTTACTTTCAGATTAATTACCTCAAGAAAAATCTGAATTCTTGATTTACTTTATAGAAATGATAAAAGGAAATTAACAACTTATTATACTTATTGCTATATATTAAAATTTACCTAAGACAAATTGTAACACACACACAAAAAAAAAAAAATAAGAAAAGAAGAAATCACAGGCCTTTAAAATGTACAATACTTCGAGTTTCTAATAACATCATAAAAAGTACATTGCAATACAATTTTAGGGGTGGTGGATTGGTGTCTCATAAAATTATAGGTTGTGCATAATGAGAGCACACACAGGACCCTCGTAAAACCTGCATAACCAGACGCCAGGAAAACTGAGATAAGCTGAATCAGAGATACAACAGTAAACAATTCCAGCAGACTTGCCCCTTGTGAAAATAACTCCAGAAGACCCTCCTCTTACAGAAGAGACCCCCTCACATACACTAAATTTCCAGCAGTCTACTAGCCCTATGAAGACCCACTCTCCCTTTTCGGGGGTGGGGGGTGGGTGATTCAGCCTGCAGAGTTGTCCCTCATGGACTTCCAATAAAGGCCCTTCAGTCCAATAATCTCGGCCTCCTTTCTTTTCTAACAGTGCAAATGACATGATAATTACAAGGGTAGGTCAGCTAAGAAAATGTCTGCATTTTGTTTGCTGGAAAATGTCTACTTCCACACTGTTCACACTGTTAGGGAAAAGAGGCTGGAGTCAGTAAACAATGGCGCCTTTGCTGTGAAGAACACTGTGTGGAGAACCAAAGAAGTGTCCAAACGTCCACAGATGGAGCCCTTTTCATGTTGCTGAAAGAAGAGCTTGAAATAAAGACCTGACCGCCTCATACCTATAGGCATATTTTAGGATATGGATTTCAAATAACCTCTGGGCCTTACATCTTCCCAACCACAGCTCTGACAGTTCTGTAGTCAGGGAATTGCTTTCAAGTTATGAATAGCATTTCCCCCTTAACAATTAACTAAGTTTGTTGGAAACCAACCTCCTTTAGTTAATGGAAAATGTTACAAGTTAACTAGAAATCTTCTTTCCCTTAATAAGAAAAAATAGTTATGTATTTTTCTGTGCCCAAAACTGCAAGGACAAGGGTCTGTTACTCAATGAAATCAAGGAAATTGATTTCTCGGGCCCAGGTCCTTAGTTTGGTTCTGAATAACCTCTTTAATAAAGTTCTCTTTTACTAAGCTTGGAATTAACTTCACAGAGGTGATTATTTCTGTCTGCAATGCCTAATTGCTCAAATCACCTGAGGTGGAAGGGATTCCTACTACAAGTAATGGTTCCACTTTCTCAGCCAAGTAAGAAATAGCCCTTGCCCAGACCAAGGACAAGCTGCACTTTTGAGTGCATTTACAGATAAGCAAAGGTTGGTGACAACACAAAAACAATTTCCAAGTATGCAGATTCTCATCATTATTGATATGATTCAGAATAATAACGAAGAATGGGTACTTTAAATGGGCAAAATGGCACCATCCGTTATTAGTAAGTCACCAAATTTAAAACTAAATATATAGCATATAAAGTAAGCCAAGATAAAAGTCTAAAAACCAAATTGAAAAATTCGGAATTGGGATTTACTTCCTTGACCTTTTCCCTCTTCAATTTCTTGAAATAAGAAAACAATAACTAAAATAACAGGAGAAAGAAACCTGACTTTTATTTAAGAGTATTTGGGAGATACCAGTGCACTCAAGACATACACATACATAAGACTAGGGAAGACTTTAACAGACACTAGTCAATAATAGGAGCTTAGTCTCTTCTTAAAAATCAGTAGAGAATGATATTTCATAAACTTCCAAATTATAATCTTAATAAAAAGACCAAGTCATTTCTATAGCTCATGTATAATAGCTGCCGCACAGTGGGTCTAAAGCAAAGGTTAAAAACTGTGATTATTAGCAATATAAAATTTAAAGGAAGCGATGGTAGATACTACTAACAATGGAATACCTGTTGAATTAACACAGCAAATTACCAGAACTTTATTAACTTAAAAATATGTCTCAGATAAGCAAAATATGTAATAGGAAATTTCTACAAAGTACATGTAACCCAAAGATAATTAATTGCAGATTCTAGGGATTTAGAAGCAAAGTAAAACAATAGTTAATGATACAGGCAGATTATAAATGATGGACTAATGACAAACAGTTTTTGGAAAAAAGACAAGATTATTCAGTTACAGTTAATTTCAATCCACATCTCAGTCATAATTCATAAAAGTGTTTTAGCTAGCATGTCCCCAAATATTTAGCCTTAACAATATCAAATAAAGGATAAGTGCAGTAATAGAACATACAATACAATTTACATATGTAAAAGAATACATTACATTTTGAAAACATAAAACATGAAGCTTAAAGCTCAGCTTCTAAAAAGTCAACAATTTTTAAGTAGAGAAAAACTAATGTCATCTGAATACATAACCTGGCCAAAATTCCAAAGAAGAATCATTACAGAAGTTAATCCAAATAATTAAATTAACATTTTAAAGCACAGAAAAGCAAAAAAGGACAAAATTTTAATCAACTGTACATTTATGTTTCCTTGATATAAATTATTATAAAATATTCTATTACAATCAAACAGTCTCAATGATTATCCTAAAGGCAGGTCCAAGCATTATAATTTTCAAAGTGGTTCTCTCACCAACATTCTAGTAATCACTGTTGCTGTTATAAACTGTCCAAATGGCACAAGATGCACCTAAGCTTTGTCATTAAGATAATGTGATATTTTAATGGCAGGTTTCAGCTGAAATCCAATGGTGTTTTGATGATGATCACTGTGTTATACAAATTCTCATTTAAGAATAAAAAAGCAAATGTGTCTCTGCTTTTGAAGGGAAATGCAGAGACTAAGAAATTAGCTGGCAAAACCCCTTGGTCAATGTACCAAATTTTCCTAGTTTATTAAAACTAGACAGCTTGACATCAAGTACAACCAACACAGAGAAATACGGTATGTCCACAAAAAAAAAAGTAAGTTTGAGGGGCATAGGATGTAAGAGGCATCTTCTCCTGGAGCTTTCCACAGTTGAGAACATTGCTGAGTACAGGGAATGGCTTTTAGCTAAGAACATAAGGTGAGCAAAAAATGAAAACCTTTCTCTCAGTCTTTTTTCTTTCTTCAGATTCTAAATTCATACAACCCATGGTGTCTCTATAGAATCTAATTCTCTTATTCCTTTTTACTTTGAAGGTACTTATAGTACAAATTACTGTAATCGTTTTTGGGGAGAAGAATTAGATTGAGCTGAGGCTGGGTGTCTTCTCCAACAGTCTCAAAAGGCAGATAAGCAAAAATGAAGTGATTGAAGTTATAGGCTAGATTGGTATTTAGAATATTTAACCACTAGCACAATCCAGACACCAACAAACCAGAATAGATGCTTAACCATAAGCATAAGTAACCGGGTAGTATCTGGGTACTACTTGCTGAATATCATCCTGACAACAAGGAAGTCCAGACTGGTCAGTGGGAAGGGAAACCGTTTCAATTCATTGTAGAATTATATACTCAACTTTTTCTATAATGTGTATTCAATTTCCCCAGAGGTTAAAAAAGATTATCTTAAAAGTCAAGTTTGTCAATTTTTTTATGGATATAGCCAAAACTACATGTTCCACACAGGAAATCCTCATGTCAAGTATGTGCTTAAAGCTTGATGCAAAAGAAACTGTCTTTCCCAATGACGGATTTCTTTCATTGCTCCCATAAAAGAAACCCTTTTCTTTGCCTCCGCGGCTTTCCCACATACCAACCACATTTGTTTCCTTTGTTTCCCACCATCTCCAACTCCTCATAGTCCTCAGTCCCCTCCATAAAAGTCTTAAACATTTCATTGTGCACTGCCCACCCCCATCAATGGTAATACACATACAGACAACAATTATTTACTTATATCAAGGTAAACATAACTTATTATTCAATTGTTTTATGAAAATAATTTTAAAGAAGTGAATGGAAATAAAGCATCATCAAACCTAGAGCACAATGGCATCTTCAGTTCTCATTAAATATGTATTTATTAAAAAGTTGTTGCTCACCTTTGTTTTGTTTTAATTATTATGTATATTTGTGTGCTAATTTAGTAATAGTTCCAGTTCAATTACAGTTAGCCTATTTCAGTATTGTTATTGCCAAACTGGATTTTGTGGACTACCTAGTAATCACCTATAACAATATTTTCTGGAGCAAATGATAAATGTTACAATTTGCAAACAAATGATCAAGAAAAAAATTGAACTACAACCTATTTGCAAAACAGGGAATAGTTGCATGGTATTTTACATGCTGGAGTTACACAATGCCATAAAGACAAAAACTAATGTAATTTTTTGGGTACATAACTAAACAAAGGTAATTTTCCATTATCATCATGATATACAAAAGTACATGTATTCAGTTTTACAAAAAAATTTCTTTACCCTGCTTTATATTCTTCACTGTGATCCTTTTGTATTGATTTATAGTTCTCTTTTTCATAACTACCCAGAAAATAACACAGCAAGAACAAAGTGCCAGATCCTATAAGCTATAATATTAGTTACTGCCTGGATAAAAAGGGATGGCAAAGTTGAAAGGGGAGTAGTGCTTGTTGTACTGACCCTGATGATGTTACAGAAAAGTGATCGGTTTATCCCACAAAAGGGGGTGTGTTTTATTGTTGCACTTAACGTTATCATTCAAAACAAATCTATAAGCGCTTTATGGATTGCTTGTTGAATCACACTGTATCAACCACTGCTTCCTCTTCATCCACACAAATGAGGAGGAACGAAATAGAAAAAAAAATAGAAAAAAATTGCACTAGAAGTTATTTTTTCTTTCTGAAAGTTCATACCCAAGTAGTGTTCTAGTTCTGTGAACTATAATCACATTATATCATTAAAAACATGAATCTATTTCCACAGAATATTTGATTTAAGCACATAGCCCTTAAAACACAAGATTATTATATTTAAAAATTATCTCTGATAACTTGGCTTTTGGGAGAACTAAAAACAAATCCATCTTTGAAAAAATATTTATATTATTATCTTGAAACTTTCAGTTCCCATAACTAAGAAAAGGTACCTAGGGATAGTGTTCTCCAGATTCACTTGCCTTCTGAGAAGGAAAAGAGCAATAAGTAGAATAAGGCTGAGCATTTAACTAAGAAATGGAATGCATGAATGAGGATAAAGGGAAAGTTGAATTTTACACAATCAAAGCAAAAATCTACCAACTTTTCTCAAAAATTATCCTGGGTTGCGATAAGGGAGATATCCACTGTAAAATATCAGAGACAGCTTCAGCTTCAGCAAACAAGATAAAGGATAAATAAATAGAATGGTGCTAATAGGCGTTTCAAAAAATCTCATAGGCAAGAAAATTCTAAAATTGAGAGCTGGGAATAAACAATACCCCAAGTAAGCTTTGTCAGGGAGAAGCCTCTTCTTCATTAGAAAAAGGGTTTTTAGATGTCTACAGAGGACGCCAGGCATGAAGAATATAATCTTTAAGACAATATTAAGAGCTTCTAACAATGAAAACATTCCAAATAATAATACATACTGTTATAATAACTGTTTCAAAGAGGTTAAGGAATATAATTATTAGAAATTTGTCAATATTGCAGTTACTGTGTCGTCTTTAAATAAACTTTCTTTGAATAGCTGTCAAGAACAAAATTAGTTTCTAATATTGCTATTTTGATAATGATAACTTCACAAATTGTGCTTTACACAGCGTGGTCTTTGCATGGTCTTTGCATTCATGTAGAGGAACAGATCACAACCAATGTCTGCAGTGGTGAGTACTAAGCTTCAGTACTAGAGAACAGGTCAACAGTGCCTCTTGTTAATGATTAGTTTCAAAGAAACCATAGTATCTAGTCTGCTTCAAGACACCTACATGTTGCTAAGATCAGTTTAAAGCAAAGTTAAGAGTTCATAAACATAAATATTTAGTTATTTTAAGCTAATTATTGGACTTGAAACATTTCTAAAGCTAGAATCAATAATTTTTTCCTTGAAATGAAATTGTTATATGATGTCATGGAGCAAAACTACAGGCAAGCTGCTTAAAGCTCTTGAGGGAAAGGCCTTGCATGATTAAATTAAAATGAAGCTTAGCATCCAGATTCAGTTATGGCAACAAGCAGTATCAAGGGAAATTAACAAATTTTACTTGGGCTGCTTGTGCAATAGAGAAGAGGACAATACAAATCAACACTGTAAAACCAGCCATGCAGCCATAAAGTTTTCTTATTAGGGGTCAGTTTAAAAGTTGATAAGTAATTGTGAGACAGTAGTCTGAGTACTTAAAATAAAAATAAGCAAACAAAATACACTTCTGATAGTTCAGTTAAACTAGCTGTTGGCTCACTTTATAAAATTAGTAAAATCATTAAAGACACATTCTTTTGAAACAGGGTTTTAAAGATAGGACTCCATACTTAGTAAATGCAATTTAAAGGCCTAGCAGCCATTGTATAACAATATTAAAATTGATGAGTTAAAACCAATTGTATGAAAATTTATCATCTTTCAATAGAATGAGTTGGAAAATATATTCAAATTTCCATTGGCACAAATTCTATCACAAATGTAAATTCTATAAGCTCTGTGCCCTCCCTGGTGGCGCAGCAGGTTAAAGCACTGCACTGAGAAGCTAAAGCCACTTCCGCATGAGTTCGATCCCCGCCTTCCCCGGAGGAGACCACATGGCGTGGCAGACCTCTCCTGACCCGCCCACTGCTCCCCTCAGCAGTGTACTTCGTTGATCTGCCTGTTCTGCTCCCCACTCTGTCTCTGGTGAAGTCTCTCACTGCCCCTGAGTCTCTGGCATGTACCCCAGTTCTGTATGCACAAATAAATAAATCTTAAAAAAAAATTCTATAAGCTCTGGAAATCTTGGCAATTTATCTTTTGGACTTCTGGTTGCAAGAAGAAAATTTAAGGATCTCAATGAAAATAAGGTATTGTCTTCAGAAATCAGGTGATAGAGCTTTAACTGATAGTTGCATGTGGCCTCGTGTATCTATTAAAGAAGGGTAAAAATGATTCCATGGTGACTTACATCTTTAAAGGTTTTCCCTCAGGCATTAGTCCTTTTCAAGACTTAGCTCTATATTTAAAGGGACAAACTTATTAAGCCCATTTTTTAAAGGACTTCTAGCAGCTCAAGATTACTCTTACACAGAATTCTATTTTAAGAAGCCTGCTTACACAAAATAATTGAAGTGACTAAAAACCAGGTTAAAATATAGGATGTTATAAACAGGGTATCTATTATCAAACTGTAGAAGTGCCTGATATTTGACTACTAGAACATTTATCTTAAGTGTTTTGTAGAGTTGCACCTGTACAGTTTCCCTCTCAACTTGCTGCCACACAACACATCCCCTGACACCTCTCTCTAATGGTCATTTTCATGTGCCCACACAACAAGTTCAAGAGCTGCTCTAAATAGTCTATATCCAGAATCTAATGCAGAGAAATGTTCAAAGATTTGAGGACGTCTTACCCCAGATATGAGAAATACTTTGCAGAAATCCAAAACGGGCAGAATCTGTAGAAAACTGGCAGCTTCCAGTGTGTCTTGAAGTGTGTCCATATTAAGAGAAAGCTTTGCAGTATAAATGAAATCAATAATTTTCCTTAAACCGACTTTGCTCACGCCATGAAGCTTAATGCACATTAAATCTTGTTCTTTCATTCCACCTTAAATAAAAAGACATTCAATTAAATGAAAGTGGATAACTTAATTAAGGTCAACCTCACTTCTGCTGCTAATTAAAGGTAATAAAATTAAAGGAAAAGTTTTGTTCTGTGAAAGCATTCATGTCAGAGTTAGGTTTCTGTGTATTTTACAGTTAAAGAAAGTACTTATAAAATGAATGGCTCTCTACTAATGGAGGTCATATATGATTCAAGTGCTTCCAGAATGTTCTGTTACTTGGAATCTTTTGTTGGATAAAAGACTGCATCTATTAGTGGGATTCAGGTGGCCCATTCAGATGCATATGAAGAAGAAAAGCTGTGAAATAAGGTGGCTTGAAATATGATAAAGACACATACATTTCCCGAGTTGTAAAAGCAACACCCCAAACCTCATTTTTTCATATTGTTTTAACGTGGACACAGAGTTTAGTAAGGCAACCTACCTGTGAACATGGCCTTGAAGTAATCACTAGCAGATGCCATCATCACTCGATGTACAGGGAAGGCATCATCTGTGTCACCAGGCATCAAGGTCACATCGCAAAGCAACCCTTCAAGTCGGAGCTGGTCAAAGCCCTGTATCAAGGACAAGTTAAATCACTAACCAAGGTGCAATAGGTCACAAATCTTTTTGTGCTAAAGTCCAGTCTACATATGAGTGTGGGTGCAATGTTTTTCAATGTAAATCCAGTAAAATAATTACTCAGGAGAAGAAAAATATAAACTCAACAGTGTACTAGATAATATGATTGTGTATATTTATTTAATTCATTGTAGGAAAAAGATAAAATTAGGACAAATATAGATTAAGAAGAACATAAACATTCACTTATTTACACAGAGTTGGATTTTTACCTTATTTGAAAAGAATTACCGAGTTCAATTAGGGTGTTGGAATAGCATTCATTTCTATAAAAATATAATGTCCTTCTTTAGCACTTTACTAAGATACCTTGCTTTTTTCTTTTCTTTTTTTTTTTTTTTTTTTTTTTTTTTTTTTTTTTTTTTTTTTTTTGGAGAAAGAAAAGTAAAGAGCATTTGCATTAACTACAATACGGGAATTCCTTTCTACCACCTAGAGTGTTCCATCTCTGAGAATTAGGGATTGTGTCTTAGATAGTCTTATAAGTTGGCGCATTGCCTAAATAATCAGCTTTCAAATTTGGAATTTACGTTTGGATAAAAAGAGCACAGGGAGACCAACATGAAATTGTCCTCAAATTCCTAAAGTTTAGTGGAAAATTAACAGACTAACACCCACAGTTCAGAAACGGACACTACTCTGGTGAGAGGAAGCTCATACATTAGCTCTTGGACCCACTCCTTTGTCAGTTGATATCAGCCAGTGACAAACAGGCAGTGGTTCTTTGGTCTTTTCTGGGAAGAATGAAACACTTAAAAAGATGTTGATAGGCCAGTAAGATGCATAAGAGGAAGATAAATATACAAGTTTAAAAGGAGGCACAAATGAAGATTTTGGCAAGATTTAGTCTGCAGTTTCAAAATGGAAATGTACTGTTTCAAACAGAATTGTACTATTATAAAAGATCGCTAAGAAATATATACAAATTATTTTTTAATAAAAATGTACTATAGTAATATAGTACAAGAGGTGGAAATTAATCTATACCTTTCATATTTCAATAACTTCAGATAAAACTTTTATTTAAAGTTATGTTTTGTAGATTTAAGAAGCAAAAGGTGTAACAGTTGTAGAAATACTGATTCTCCACATATACATAATATAAATCTCAGTCTAAACATCATGTCTTTAATTTTTAAATTGTTTTTGAAAGAAAATGCTTGAATCTACAGAAATGAAACATCAAAGAGATAATGTGATCCAGCCACTTTCTCCATGGAGAAAGATATAAATATTCTTATTCCTCAAATATTTATACATTATACATATAATTTTTAAGACCAGGATTATGTATCATATTTTTCTTTCTCCAACAATGATCGACATATGTTTTTGTTCAGAAATAACCAACATTTCACAAATGCTCCTTTTCCTTTGTAAGCACAAACAATATATTTCCCCCTCACTATTCTCTATTTTCCATCAGTAAGTTGTCTTTTTTTTCTGTTAACAGAAAGC